ATTGGTACAAGAAGCCGTAGATACACTTCTTGATAATGGAATCCGCGGACAACCAATGAGAGACGGTCATAATAAGGTTTACAAGTCGTTTTCAGATGTAATTGAAGGCAAAGAGGGAAGGTTTCGTGAGACTATGCTTGGCAAACGGGTTGATTATTCGGGGCGTTCCGTCATTGTCGTAGGCCCCTCACTTTCATTACATCGATGTGGATTGCCTCGCGAAATAGCAATAGAGCTTTTCCAGACATTTGTAATTCGTGGTCTAATTAGGCAACATCTTGCTTCAAACATAGGAGTTGCTAAGAGTAAAATTCGGGAAAAAGAGCCAATTGTATGGGGAATACTTCAGGAGGTTATGCGGGGACATCCTGTATTGCTGAATAGAGCGCCTACTCTGCATAGATTAGGCATACAGGCATTCCAACCCATTTTAGTGGAAGGACGTGCTATTTGTTTACATCCATTAGTTCGTAAGGGATTCAATGCAGATTTTGATGGGGATCAAATGGCTGTTCATGTACCTTTATCGTTGGAGGCTCAAGCGGAGGCTCGTTTACTTATGTTTTCTCATATGAATCTCTTGTCTCCAGCTATTGGAGATCCCATTTCCGTACCAACTCAAGATATGCTTATGGGGCTCTATGTATTAACAAGCGGGAATCGTCGAGGTATTTGCGCAAATAGGTATAATCCGTTTAATTGCAGAAATTTTCAAAATGAAAAAATGGACGCTAACGCTAATAAGGATAAGTATATGAAAGAACCCTTTTTTTGTAATTCTTATGATGCAATTGGAGCTTATCGCCAGAAAAGAATCAATTTAGAGAGCCCTTTGTGGCTTCGATGGCAACTAGATCAAGGCCTTATTGCTTCAAGAGAAGCTCCCATTGAGGGTCACTTTGAATCTTTAGGTACCTATCATGAGATTTATGGACACTATCTAATAGTAAGAAGTATAAAAAAAAATTCTTTCTATATACATTCGAACCACTGTTGGTCATATTTCTCTTTATCGAGAAATCGAAGAGGCTATACAAGGGTTTTGCCAAGCCTGCTCAGGCGGTACCTAATCTAATCATAGGGATCTAAGCTAAGTAATTCTATGACATCGGTGTGAATTCAGATCTCTTTGGTGCAACTAGGACTATAGTTCCTGAATTTCTACGCGAATCAAGATCGAGAAAAGGAAGTTTTCCAAGCATTAACTCAAATCTATTGCCGAGCCCTATTCAGCGGAATATGGAGGTATTTATGGCCGAACGGGCCAATCTGTTCTTTCACAATAAAGTGATAGATGGAACTGCCATTAAACGAATTATTAGTCGATTCATAGATCACTTCGGAATGGCATATACATCACACATCCTGGATCAAGTAAAGACTCTGGGTTTCCAGCAAGCCACTGCTACATCTATTTCATTAGGAATTGATGATCTTTTAACAATACCTTCGAAGGGATGGCTAGTCCAAGATGCTGAACAACAAAGTTTGATTTTGGAAAAACACCATCATTATGGAAATGTACATGCGATAGAAAAATTACGCCAATCCATTGAGATATGGTATGCTACAAGTGAATATTTGCGACAAGAAATGAATCCGAATTTTAGGATGACGGAACCCTTTAATCCAGTCCATATAATGTCTTTTTCGGGAGCTAGGGGAAATGCATCTCAAGTACACCAATTAGTAGGTATGAGAGGATTAATGTCGGATCCACAAGGACAAATGATTGATTTACCCATTCAAAGCAATCTACGCGAAGGATTGTCTTTAACAGAATATATCATTTCTTGCTATGGAGCCCGAAAAGGAGTTGTGGATACTGCTGTACGAACATCAGATGCTGGATATCTTACGCGCAGACTTGTTGAAGTAGTTCAACACATTGTTGTACGTAGAACAGACTGTGGCACCACCCGAGGGATTTCTGTGAGTTCTCGAAATGGAATGATACCGGAAAGAATTTTTATTCAAACATTAATAGGTCGTGTATTAGCAGACAATATATATATGGGTCTACGATGCATTGCCACTCGAAATCAAGATATTGGGATTGGACTTGTCAATCGATTCATAACCTTTCGAACACAACCAATATCTATTCGAACTCCTTTTACTTGTAGAAGTACGTCCTGGATCTGTCGATTATGTTATGGTCGAAGTCCTACTCATGGCGACCTGGTGGAATTGGGAGAAGCTGTAGGTATTATTGCAGGTCAATCCATTGGAGAGCCAGGTACTCAACTAACATTACGAACGTTTCATACCGGCGGAGTATTCACAGGGGGTACTGCAGAACATGTACGAGCCCCCTCTAATGGAAAAATCAAATTTAATAAGGGTTTGGTTCATCCCACACGTACACGTCATGGGCATCCTGCTTTTCTCTGTTATATGGACTTATATGTAACTATTGAGAGTCAAGATATTATACACAACGTGACTATTCCACCAAAAAGTTTTCTTTTAGTTCAAAATGATCAATATGTAGAATCAGAACAAGTGATTGCTGAAATTCGCTCGGGAACATACACTTTGAATTTTACAGAGAGGGTTCGAAAACATATTTATTCCGATTCAGAAGGAGAAATGCACTGGAGTACTGATGTATACCATGCATCTGAATTTACATATAGTAATGTCCATCTTTTACCAAAAACAAGCCATTTATGGATATTGTCAGGGGGTTCGTGCAGATCCAGTATAGTCCCGTTTTCGCTACACAAGGATCAAGATCAAATAAACGTTCCTTCTTTTTCTGTCGAAAGAGGATATATTTCTAACCCTTCAGTAAATAATGATAAAGTTAAACACAAATTCTTTAGTTCATATCTTTCGAGTAAAAAGAAAGTAGGATTCTTGATTATTCAGACCTTAATCGAATCATATGTACTGGTCATTATAATTTCATATATCCTGCTATTCTCCACGAAAATTCTGATTTATTGGCAAAGAGGCGAAGAAATAGATTTATCATCCCATTCCAATCGATTCAAGAAAAAGAACTAATGTCCCACTCCGATATCTTGATTGAAATACCTATAAATGGTATTTTCCGTAGAAATAGTATTTTTGCTTATTTTGACGATCCCCAATACCGAAGAAACAGTTCAGGAATTACTAAATATGTGGCTATAGGGGCGCATTCAATTGTCAAAAAAGAGGATTTAGTTGAGTATCGAGGAGTCAAAGAATTTCAGCCAAAATACCAAATGAAAGTAGATCGCTTTTTTTCATTCCCGAGGAAGTGTATATTTTACCCGAATCTTCTTCCCTAATGGTACGGAACAATAGTATCGTTGGAGTCGATACACAAATCACTTTAAATACAAAAAGTCGAGTAGGGGGTTGGTCCGAATAGAGAGAAAAAAAAAATGGAACTTAAAATCTTTTCTGGAGATATCCATTTTCCGAGGGCGACAGATAAGATATCCCGATACAGTGGTATCTTGATACCACCAGGAACGGTAAAAACAAATTCTAAGGAGTCAAAAAAGGTGAAAAATTGGATCTATGTCCAACGGATCACACCTACCAAGAAAAAGTCTTTTGTTTTGGTTCGACCAGTACTCATATATGAAAAAGGGGACGGTATAAATTTAGAAAGACTTTTTCCCCCGGATTTATTGAAGGAAAAAGATAATCTGAAACTTCGAGTTGTCAATTATATTCTTTATGGAAATGGTAAACCAATTCAGGGAATTTCTAACACAAGTATTCAATTAGTTCGTACTTGTTTAGTGTTGAATTGGAACCAAGACAAAAAAAGTTCTTCTATCGAAGAGGCTCGTGTTTATTTTGTTGAAGTAAGTATAAATGGTCTGATTCGTGATTTCCTAAGAATCCACTTAGGGAAATCCCGCATTTCCTATATCAGCAGAAAAAGGAACGATCCATCAGGTTCGGGATTGATCTCTGATAATGGGCCAGATCGCACCAATATTAATCCATTTTATTCCAAGACAAAGATTCCACAATCACTTAAACAAAATAAAGGAACTATTAGTACGTTGTTGAATAGAAATATGGAATGTCAATCTTTGATAAGTTTGTCATCATCTAATTGTTTTCGAATGGATCTATCCAATGGTGTAAAATATTATAATGTAATAAAAGAATTAACTAAAAGAGATCCTATAATTCCAATTAGGAATTTGTTGGGCCCTTTAGGAACAGCCCCTCAAATTGAGAATTTTGATTCATTTTACCATTTACTAACTCATAATCAGATCTCGGTAATTAAATATTTGAAACTTGACAATTTCAAATTAAAACAGACTTTCAAAGTACTTAAATATTATTTAATGGATGAGAACGGTAGAATTGTTAATCACGATCCGTGCAGTAACAGCGTTTTGAATCCATTCAAATTGAATTGGTATTTTCTCCATCATAATTATCATCATAATTTTTGTGAAGAAAGATTCACAATAATTAACCTGGGACAGTTTATTTGTGAAAATGTATGTATGGCAAAAAATGGATCACGCCTAAAATCAGGTCAAGTTATAATTGTTCACGCCGACTCTGTAATACTAAGATTGGCTAAGCCCTATTTGGCCACTCCAGGAGCAACTGTTCATGGCCATTATGGGGAAATTCTTTACGAAGGAGATACATTAGTTACATTTATATATGAAAAATCGAGATCTGGTGATATAACGCAGGGTCTTCCAAAAGTGGAACAAGTGTTAGAAGTGCGCTCAATTGATTCAATATCGATAAACCTAGAAAAGAGAGTGGAGAGTTGGAACGAGTGTATAACAAGAATTGTTGGAATTCCTTGGGGATTCTTGATTGGTGCTGAGCTAACTATAGTGCAAAGTCGTATTTCCTTGGTTAATAAGATCCAAAAGGTTTATCGATCCCAGGGGGTGCAGATCCATAATAGGCATATAGAAATTATTGTACGCCAAATAACATCAAAAGTCTTGGTTTCAGAAGATGGAATGTCTAATGTTTTTTCACCCGGAGAACTAATTGGATTGTTGCGAGCGGAACGAGCGGTGCGCGCTTTGGAAGAAGCGATCTGTTACCGAACCATATTCTTGGGAATAACGAGAGCATCTCTGAGTACTCAAAGTTTCATATCCGAGGCGAGTTTTCAAGAAACTGCTCGCGTTTTAGCAAAAGCTGCTCTCCGCGGTCGTATCGATTGGTTGAAAGGCCTAAAAGAAAACGTCGTTCTAGGTGGTATGATACCCGTTGGTACCGGATTCAAAGGATTAGCGCACCGCTCAAGGCAACATAAGATAATTCCTACCAAAAAGAAGAATTTATTCGAGGGGGAAATGAGAGATATTTTGTTTCACCACAGAGAGTTATTTGATTCTTGCATTTCAAAAAATTTCTATAATATATCAGAACAATCATTTATAGGATTTAATGATTCCTAAGAGTAGATTCGTCCTTTTAACTGTCGGTGGTCTTGTGATTTCTTACATTTACATGTGATTTGTTAATAGTAATAAATAAAGATAATATAAAGATAATAAGGAATAGAAAGAAATAAATCGCTTGGATCGTGTATCAACGTCCAATTACGGGAAAAGAAAAGGTTCCATCGGAACAATTATTTATTTCAGGGTATCTCGTTTCTTTTTTTTCTTTGAAAAAAAAAGAGAGGAAGTGTGGAGAGAAATGATAAGAAGATATTGGAACATTAATTTGAAAGAGATGTTGGAAACAGGAGTTCATTTTGGTCATGCTACTAGAAAATGGAATCCGAAAATGGCACCTTATATCTCTGCAAAGCGTAAGGGTATTCATATTACAAATCTTACTAGAACTGCTCGTTTTTTATCAGAAGCGTGTGATTTGGTTTTTGATGCAGCAAGTAGGAAAAAACAATTCTTAATTGTTGGTACCAAAAAGAAAGCAGCTGATCCAGTAACGCGGGCTGCAATAAGAGCTCGGTGTCATTATGTTAATAAAAAATGGCTCGGCGGCCTTTTAACGAATTGGTCCACTACAGAAATGAGACTTCAAAAGTTCAGGGACTTGAGAATGGAACAAAAGACAGGGGGAATCAACCGCCTTCCGAAAGGGGATGCGGCTCGATTAAAGAGAGAGTTATTTCACTTGCAAACATATTTGGGCGGAATTAAATATATGACAGGGTTACCCGATATTGTAATAATCGTTGATCAGCAAGAAGAATATATGGCTCTTCGAGAATGTATCACTTTGGGAATTCCAACAATTTGTTTAATTGATACAAACTGTGACCCGGATCTCACAGATATTTCGATTCCAGCGAATGATGACGCTATAGCTTCAATCCGATTAATTCTTAACAAATTAGTATTTGCAATTTGTGAAGGGCGCTCTAGCTATATACGAAATCCCTGATTAATAATAAGATAAATAAATTCTTTTTTGAATTCCATAGATTGACGGAATCCGTTACTATTCCTGAATCTCATAAAAGAGATAAAAAAACTGAGGATATTATGTGATTAGTTGGTATCTAAAATATAAAATTCAAGTGAGCAAGTCGAGAAAAAGACGGTTGAATCAAAATAATTTCTTGTAAAGTTTTCTTTCAGAGGAAAATATGAATGTTCTATCATATTCCATTAACACATTAAAAGGGTTATATGAAATATCCGGTGTGGAAGTAGGCCAACATTTCTATTGGAAAATAGGCGGTTTCCAAGTCCATGCCCAAGTACTTATTACTTCTTGGGTTGTAATTGTTATCTTATTAGGTTCAGCTATTGTAACTGTTCGGAATCTACAAACCATTCCTACTGACGGTCAGAATTTCTTCGAATATATCCTTGAATTTATTCGAGATGTGAGCAAAACCCAGATTGGAGAGGAATATGGTCCATGGGTTCCCTTTATTGGAACTCTGTTTCTATTTATTTTTGTTTCTAATTGGTCAGGGGCGCTTTTACCTTGGAAAATCATAGAGTTACCTCATGGGGAGTTAGCCGCACCCACGAATGATATAAATACTACCGTTGCTTTAGCTTTACTTACGTCAATAGCATATTTTTATGCGGGCCTTAGCAAAAAAGGATTAGGTTATTTCGGTAAATACATACAACCAACTCCAATCCTTTTACCCATTAACATTTTAGAAGATTTCACAAAACCCTTATCACTTAGCTTTCGACTTTTTGGAAATATATTAGCGGATGAATTAGTAGTTGTTGTTCTTGTTTCTTTAGTACCTTCAGTGGTTCCTATACCTGTCATGTTCCTTGGATTATTTACAAGTGGTATTCAAGCTCTTATTTTTGCAACTTTAGCTGCGGCTTATATAGGTGAATCCATGGAAGGACACCATTGACTAAGTTTCGAAATAGTCTTTTTTAGCTTAGTGCAAGGTAATCTATGCCTTGTTCGAGATAATCTACTTCGTGAACATAAATATACACATAAATAGACAAAAAAGTCTATACGATCTAGAAGAATAGTAAAAAAGATTACGATATTAGGGAATTGTAAAAAAAAAAAGGAAAGAGATTTTTTTAGATCTTTTTCCTAAAATTTGTTTGGCTCATTTATATCTTCTTCCAATGAATATTCTTTTTATATTGTCTTGATTGTTCATTCAATTCCAATCTTAGAAGTCATAATCTGAATAAAAATTCTTTATTTGTTTACTAAAAAAAAGAAACTAGGTTCTATAGAGCGATTCCCATTTCAGTCGGTTTTATTCAATTCAAAGATTGACCAAAAGAAAATATTAATAAAGAATAAATTACATGAACTTAGATCAACCAAAGACTTATATTTCTATGCAATGATTTAGACTAAGGAATTCGACCATTTAGATTGATTGTATCCATGTGGGATAATGCTAAATTAAATAAAAGGAAGATAAGGGTTTACAAAAAATGAGATTCAGGAGAAAATGGTTTCTTTAGAAGAGTGGGATCAAACTAGGTATATGTAATATATATAATCGCTATAAGCCAACTTTCTTTTCTAGATGTTTCTAAAAATGTTTTTAAAATCCGACTGAATCCAAGATACGAATAGTTGGTTTACGTTATGGAAGAAAGACATGTATATGTAATATTAGGCTAGTTATATATGAGCTAAAAGATATATCTAATCCGCCCTCCTATTACTGAGAATTTGGATAGGGATTCCAATAAAAGTCCTTCCGTTTCATTTGTAACTGTGAATTCAATTCAATATTGAATAAAGAAATTCAATCAAGAAAAAGAACGAAGAGTTCGAATTCAAAGAATGGTTCGGAACAAAGAAAGAAATGGAAAAACAAAAAGTTGTATGAATTCTATGAATTCACAAAAACTCTGTGGATAGGAGCTATAAAATAGATATCGAAGTAGTTTTGATGATTCAATAATATTATTACTTCAATTGGGAGCTCTTAGTTGCGTCACTTTGACTGGATGAAAATCTTATCGATGGAATAATTAAGTCATAATTTATTGGTTGATTGTATCATTAACCATTTCTTTTTTTGGTGCGAGGAACTTATCATGAATCCATTGATTTCTGCCGCTTCCGTTATTGCTGCTGGGTTGGCCGTTGGGCTTGCTTCTATTGGACCTGGGGTTGGTCAAGGTACTGCTGCGGGCCAAGCTGTAGAAGGTATCGCGAGACAACCCGAGGCAGAGGGAAAAATACGAGGTACTTTATTGCTTAGTCTGGCTTTTATGGAAGCTTTAACAATTTATGGACTGGTTGTAGCATTAGCACTTTTATTTGCGAATCCTTTTGTTTAATCCTATATTTGATTTGTTTAATCTAATCCTATAAAAAATACGTATTTTTTTTTTTATTGTCTTGTACTTGCTGCTTGCTTTTTCGAATTCTATCAAGATTTCACTCCTACAATTACTTATTTAGTTTTATTTTAATTGGGACAATAACCCAACGGGAAGGACTGATTTGAGGATGAGGAATTAGTATACCGATTCACTTTCTTCCTTCCCCTTTCTTAGTTAGTCCAATCCAAACTTTTTTAAGGAAGTGTTGTAAGAAAAAAGGAGATATTTCGCAATTGACACGAGACCTGATACCAAATTCTAATAAGTATTGTTCTTAATTAGAAATTTACAATTGAAAAAAATAAATAAATAGAAAATAATCTAGAAAAATATAAAAAATAAAAAAATAAATAGATAATTAGTCTGTCTATAAGATTTATAAAAGAAGAGGAGATCATATGAAAAATATAACCGATTCTTTCGTTTTCTTGGGTCACTGGTCATCCGCCGGGAGTTTCGGGTTTAATACCGATATTTTAGCAACAAATCCAATAAATCTAAGTGTAGTCCTTGGTGTATTGATTTTTTTTGGAAAGGGAGTGTGTGCGAGTTGTTTATTTCAAGAATAGGCTGGATTGAACCAGCTGCACTTTTTTTTCGTTTAAACTAGGAAATTTAACTAGAAAAGAAAAGGTGCATGATCCTGCGAATTACTCCTGAATAAATTAAGAAATCATCTTTAAGAACCATAGCATTTCGTGATTCATTGGTAAATAGATTTTGATTCTCTATCAACCAATAACGTGGGACCATTAACATGGTTAAAGCTAAACTGTTTGAAGTCCAGACAGAGCAGGTTACTCTTTCTACTAGTATGTTAATACATACATAAAAGGATTCAAGATGAATAGTTGGAAATTGTTTTCGGTATAGAACACTCATGTCGAAAAAGGATTTGAACCCTTTTTTTTCGAAAAATGGGTACCATTCCTATCCAATGCTGAATCGATAACCTACACATAAAGTAAAGTCTTTGGATTTGAAGAAAAAAGAAACAACTTTACTGACAATTACTTGTTTGGTCAGAAGAGTCCTCCGAATATTCCGGTCTTGGATTAGTGATTAGTTTCGATATTTTGATTTTGGAATCTGAATAATGAATCGAGAAAAGAGGATAGGCTCATTCCAGTCAAAAAAGAGATGGGAATTTCCCATAAGTAATTGAAATAATTGAGCGTGAGAGCCAAATGAATCGAAAGATTCATGTTTGGTTCGGGAAGGGATCATGGAAGTTTTGCAAT